TTTCCAGCCCTTGGTTCTGTGGGAGAAGAAGGGGCACAGGGAGCACCCCCGGATCCTGGCACCTTTCAGCCTTCATGCCGTCACCCCAACAAGGACCTCACCAGGTCAGCACGGGAAGCCCAGCTGCCGGGGCAGGGGGAGGTCACGGTCCAGATTAGAGTGTGTCACACAGGCCCGAGGCCGGTCAAGTCCTCCCAATGGGCCAGGAAATACCAGCGGGGAGGGCCCGCGCCCCTCCGCCCACCGCCGGCGCCCCAGATGCCCTGAGCAAGGCTGAGTCTCCGGGAGAACGCTGGCGGCCAAAACACAGCTCCTCCCGCCCGGGGTCTGGGTTCCAGCTGGTTGGAGGGAGACTGAGTCACCAGGTCAACTCTGCCAGCCACTTTTTTTCCTTTTCATCTTTATTGTTGAAAGTATAGGAAGTACGCAGGTCCTCCTTTCCCTCCATTAACCTCTTCCAGCCGCTCCCGTCCTCCTCCCCCCCACCCCCCCACCCAGGCCCTCAGCACCCCACTGTCTGTGCCCAGGTGTGATGCAGAGATGCAGACAAGTTCATTGGTTGATCTCGTCCCACCCACCCTCCCCGCCTTCCCTCTGAGGTTCAACAGTCTGTTCCTGCTCCTATGACTCTGGGGTGACTTTTTCTTTTTTTAATCGTCACCTGAGGATATCTTCCCATTAATTTTTAGAGAGTGGAAAGGAGAGGGAGAAATAGAGAGAGAGAGAGAGAGAGAGAGAGAGAGAGAGACATCGATGTGCGAGAGACACACATCGATTGGTTTCCTCCCACACGGGCCCCAACCAGGGCTGGGGATTGAACCTGCAACCGAGGTACATGCCCTTGCCCAGAATCGAACCCGGGACCCTTCAGCCCACAGGCTGGTGCTCTATCCACTGAGCCGACCCGGCCAGGGCTGCCAGTGACTTTTAGCACTAAGACCGAGTGGCCCCAGGATGGGCAGACAAGGACCCCCCCCATCAGCATCCAGATGTTGCTAACGGACCTTCTAGGGCCTTCTCCTGTGCCTAAAGACCCCAGATCCTCAAGAGGGAGAGATTATTTGTGCTCTGGGTCGGGCTGGGTCTGGCATGAGCTGGTGCCAGGGCAGGGCGGGCCGAGGCGGAACCGCAGCCGGAAAGAGCTGCAGCCTTGGGCGTGGGGTGACGTCATTATTATTATTATTTTTTTTTAGCACCTCCCAGAGCCTGCAACAACGGGGCTCAGGGCGATTTCTTCAGGCACTTGGTCCCAGACAAACAAACGGATGCATTTACTGAGCACCCGTTTAGTCAAGATGCGCAACGCCCCTGCTGCACGCCGGGCAGCGTGCTGGGTACCTGGTATGAGGACCACATACCCAGCCTCTGCCCCGGGGAGCTGGCAGCATCCCAGGAGTCACATGACACATGCATCACAGCGAGTCCACCCGTGAGAGGCAGCTGGGCTTGCAGGCAGGGCAGCCGAGACCCCCTCCCCGGGGAAGTGACCACAGAGCCAAGACTTAACGGAGGAGAGGGAGGCAGGAAAAGGATCCTCACCAGGAACCAAACAGGCTGGCCCGGCTGGTGTGGCTCAGTGGTTGAGCGTCGACCTATGAACCAGGAGGTCGCGGCTCGATTCCCGGTCAGGGCACATGCCCGGGGTTTCGGGCTCGATCCCCAGTAGGGGGCGTGCAGGAGGCAGCCCATCCATGATTCTCTCTCATCATTGATGTTCCTCTCTCTCTCTCTCCCTTCCTCCTTGAAATCATGAAAAATATATTTTAAAAAATAAAACAAAACCAACCAGGCTGGCAGCCTTATCTCAGGCGCGCAGCCTCCAGGACTCATTTTTTTGGTTGATTTTTCTTTGTTAAAGGGTATTTAAATATATAAAATAAATATCAAAAATATAAATCTTTGTTTTACTATGGTTGCAAAGATCAAAAAATGTCTATATGTGACACGGCACCAGAGTTAACTTAGGGTTTTTCAAAATGCTGACACGCCGAGCCCAGAAGGTTCGCCATCACTGGCCTAGGCTGACGCGGGTTTTCCCTGGACAATCTCCTGTGCTCAAGGATCAGGCGGCCGGAGCTCCCCACCCCGAGGGACGCATTTGGAAAGGGAAACACAATTCCTCTGCCCCAGCCTCCCCTCCCAGCCTGCAGGGCCTTCACACATCCCTGCATCTCCCAGGCCCGGCTGGGGCGGCGCCTTTCATCTTGATGTCCCCACCGGTGAAATGGGGGTAATGACGCTCCACCCCCACACGCCGAGGGGGTGGCGAGCGAGCCGAGGAAGGACGCGTCCAGAAGCACAGGTCTCGTAACTCTGGGAAGCCCTGGCTATCGCCATGGTCCAGCCTTCACAGCTACGGGCTCTGTCGCTCCTCCCCACAAAACCCCACGACTTCCTCCAGCCCGGCTTCTTCCTCCCGGGCGGCTGTGCTCTCTACTTCCGTGGACCGCTCCACGTGGCCCGGGGATCCCATCTGCTGGCCCACCCACCCCAAAGCCCACCAGGGCCCCACCCCGCCCCTCTCAGAGGCCCAGAGCGGGTCCACCAGGAAGGCCAGGGCTCTCCATGGTCCCAGCCGCGAGGTGCCTCCCCGGTTCTCCTCTCCAGCAAGAATCAGCAGGAGCACCCGGGCCAGTGTGGCTCAGTGGATAGCGTCGGCCTGCAGATCCAAGGGTCCCGGGTTCGATACCGGTCAAAGGCACCTACTTGGTTGCAGGCTCCTCCCTAGCCCGGGCCCTGGTTGGGGCTCCCGCAGGAGACAACCAATCGATGTGTCTCTCTCACATCGATGTTTCTCTCTGTCTTTCCCTCTCTCTTCCACTCTCCCTAAAAAGCAACAGAAAAATATATCCAAGGGTGAGGATTAAAAAAAAAAAATCGGCAGGAGCAGTACCCCCCTCCCCGCCCCCAGGGCCTCAGAGTCTGCTGGCCACAGGGTTTCCGTGGAGCGAGCACAGGGCCTT